CAGGGATAAAGTACTCTGGGTTGCCCTGGAGCAGAGAAAAATTTCTCTTGCTGAGATACTTTCAGGTCAGAGAGAGTGTGGCATCTGCCCAACAGAACGCAGAAGTTTCTGACACTTAAATTATGATCCCTTCTCAAGAGGGATCTCAGAAAGAGAACCCAAGGGGTGGGGTCCCTAGGAGATGAAGTGAATTCCTTTCCAGAGCCACACTGCTCCACAGATTTCAGTACTCTTATCTGTTTAAACTGTAAGCCTGCAAGGTCCACGAGACTTCCCAAAAGCTGGGGTGGTCAGAGTTTGCTGCAACTCTCTTTCTCCTTTACCTCTGCAGAGAGGAGACGCCTCCCCACCACGGAACCTGGGTGATCAGTGTGGGGTGTTTGGGCTTTCTGGCTGGGCTTTACCAGGTCTCTGGGGTTTACTGGATGACTCTTTCTGTACTGTTGAATTTCGGTATGCTCCCATGGACACTTACCTCAATACACAGTGACCTGTTGCTTTGGTTCTTCTTGGTGGAGGAAAAGGTAAGTATTGGGTACCTCCATTCAGCTGCCTCACTTTCAGAACATTTTTAATCTGTACACTTTTCCTCCTAAAAATGTGAATCCTAGTCACATTTGGGCTTATGATTCTGAATACTATTCAAATAAGAGCTGCACGTCTTCATGTCAGTTCCTGTTCTAACGCCTGAGTTTTCTCATGATCTCACCGTCCTCACCAGTTACCTGTGGCACAGGGAGCTGGGGAGGAGCTCACACAACTCCCAGGAATGACGCATGGGAGAGTTGATAAGAAGAGGAGTATCTTGGAGGTGGGAGTCAGAAGAGATGAGAGGTATCTAGTCTACTAATTTAACTTAGAGGTGGGGAAACTGAGGTCCAGTGGTTTTCTCAGTCTAGACGGCTGGTGGTTCCACAGCCCAGAATCAGAATGTAGTCCTCTGTCCACCAGGCTCTGTCAAACATGAGATAACCATCAGGCATGTGTGGCAACATGGAGATATCTTCAAAAGTGCCCCAGAACCCACGACTCCACTGAAAAACTCTATTTAGACTTTA